AAAGCATTCCTTTGGGTCCGGCAGAGTTTGCAACGAAACCTTTGCAGACTGCGCAGCGAAGTGAAAGCGATGAATGTGAGCACATACAGCCAAATGCAGCCTGCAAAGCGCAACAACAGTGAAGTGGGCCACGAAAAAGACCTTCTCGACAAAAACCAGATTGAGATTGACAAGGTAGACCCTCCCGCAAAGGGCAATGCACTTGAGAGCGCGGTGGCTGCACTCTGGGCCAAAGCCTCGTGGGGCCATCAAGACGAGAGGCGGCCACACAGGCGAGCTCCCTGGAGGGTCGGCGCGAATGCAAGATGGAGCTGCTGCTAAGCGCCACAACAATTGGAACGGGGTAAGGCCTGACGGATGGCCTGTCGAAACCACATAGGTGCCACAAGTGACACACTCTCCGAAGAGAAAGAGCTAAACAGCCTGGGAGAATCAGGCGCGCAATTCCTGATGATGGAGGCCAAGTCGCGAACCGGACCTGCCCCTAATTGGGCCCCTAATAGCCCTACGCCAGAGCACCCGGGAAGTTTGAGCCTCAGCAGCTGGACATCTGCCGTTTGCTCGTTGCACTTCCAAGTTTTGGGCAAGAGTGCTCAATTATTGCAAGGAAGCAGGGCTGCAATGCATCGCGGCCTACATGCGAAATGTAGCACGCAGCAAAGCAGGATTGACATGCAGCAGCGCATCAGTGAGGTGTGTGGTGCATCAGGGCATGCAGCAGTGCATGTGGCTTGCAGCAATGCAAGACATTAAACGCAGCAGCCAAAGCAAAAACATACAACCAGTTCAACCATGTGATGTTACAACGCATCCCAGGGTGTTGTAGTAGCCTGCGGCCCAAACCCTAAGTAAGAGACACTTTTTTGAGCAATCATAGGGTGTCACCTTGAGCGGATTGCCATCAATAAAAGGTAGTGAAACGCGGTCGATGTTTTCCAAAAGTCGCCACATGTCCAAATCATCCAGGCAGTTTGCGTCAGCCTTGCTACTGGCCTCCCAAAATACGCTGGAATTTCGGCGGGTAACCCCAATTCCTTGAGGCTAATTTGGAGCTGGCCTGCGCTCAACCACTTTACAGTAAGTTTAAGATTGCTGCTGGGAGGTAGAGATTCTGGAAACATCAAAATGTTTATTTAATGAAGAAAACAAATGAAATAGTGAATGGGAATAGTGAATTAAAACAGCTGCGAATGGAAATAGTGAATGGGAATAGTGAATGGACATACGCCTATATGGCGAGGTGGCTAGGTCCAGGTGAGTTGTGCTAAAGCTTAGGCTCTTAGGCTTAGCAAAGCAAAGCGAAACAACGTTTATATGCTAAAGGGAAGCCCTCGACTCGATTGGCCCCAAGTCTGCCCAACCCAGCGCCCGCAATTTCCATAAGTGCCAATTCACTAATTTTCACCAATTCCATTCACCATTTTGTTCACTAATTGCTTGCTCAAGATTGCAGTCTTTTCAAAAGGAAAAAGCAAAAATCACTAACCTGCATTAAATGTCACTAAATTTCGCAAGCCCAATTTAATAAACAATTAGTGAAACTTTGTGAAATTTAGCGAAATTTATACATTCAATGAAATTTTAGAAAGAGATTCACAAAATTTCATTAAAGTTCACTAAATTTCACTAAAGTTCACAAATTTCGCAAGCCCAATTTAGTGAAATTTAGTGAAATTGTATGAATCTCTTTCTGAAATTTCATTGAATTTCATAAATTTCGCTAAATTTCACTACATTTCACTGAAATTCACTAAAATTCACTAAAATTCACTAAATTTCACTAAATTTCACCAAGGTTCATTAATTTGATTTAGCGAAATCCGTGAAATTTAGTGAATTGAAATAGTGAAAACTAATGAATTTTAGAGGTTCAATTTCCACAAATCGGCAAACTGTTGCTATTCAAATTAGTGAAATAAATTAGCGAATGCTCGCCCCGCCTGTTGGGGAAGCCGCTGGCAAGCCCTCTTATCACAAATGCAAAGACCAATTGGCTCCTTTGCTCAATTCACAAACCTGGAAACCCACATTCTCAATACACTAATTGAAGTCACAAACTGCAAATCCATGTTTCCCAATTCACAATTTTGATTCACTAAATATTTCACTCACTATTTTGATTCACAAACTATTTCACTATGCTTCACTAATTTAATTCAAAACATGTGTTTCAGTGTCTGCCTGGTCCGGCAATCTTAACAGAAAGTCACGTCGCACAGCACCTGTTGCTCACGTTGCAACCACTCGTTTTGTTATGTTCCGTTTTTCTCTAAAGCAAGGCGCGCTGCTTGGGCAAAATGGTGTTTTCCGTCTCTGGTCATGCATGATCCTATCAAGCCGCTGTCCGTGCGTTCACCACCGGATTATATGAGCGCTCTGGTTTTTCAACGTGGTTGCTCTGGCAAATCGAGATGCATCATTGTCATCGCACTTCGTACCGTAGTCGCTCTGGCAAAACGGTGCCACAGCCTGCGAAAGCATCATTTCCGATCATGAACCATGTGTCTGGCATGGCCACGCTTGCCAATGAGCTGCAACCTTGAAAGGCACACTGTTCTATCTCATCTACCAAGTCGGGGATGGCAACGCTCGCCAATGAGCTGCAACCTTTGAAGCCATGTTTCCCAATCCGTTTGACAGAACTGGGGATGGTCACACTTGCCAGTGAGCAGCAACCTTCGAAGGAACCTTGTGCAATGTCAGTGATCCAGTCGGGGATGGTCATGCTTGCAATGAGCTGCAACCTTTGAAGGCACGTTCCCCAATCCGCTTGACAGAATTGGGGATGGTCACACTTGCCAGTGAGCAGCAACCTTCGAAGGCACCAAATCTTATCACACTCACGGAGTTCGGGATTGTCACGCTTGCCAATGAGCTGCAACCTTTGAAGGCACCAAATCTTATCACACTCACGGAGTTCGGGATTGTCACGCTTGCCAATGAGCTGCAACCTTGGAAGGCACAACATTCTATTTCATCTCTCGAGTCGGGGATGGTAACGCTTGCCAATGAGCAGCAACCTTTGAAGGCGAGTCCCCCAATCCGTTTGACAGAACTGGGAATGGTCACAGTCTTCAAAGAGCTGCAACCTTTAAAAGCATCATCTCCAATCTCAGCGACGGAATTGGGAATAGCCACGCTTGCCAAGGAGTTGCAACCTTCAAAGGCATTTGTTCCAATCTCAGTCACAGAGTTGGGGATGGTCACGCTTGCCAATGAGCGGCAAGATTGGAAAGCCGCCCGTCCGATCTTAGTCACAGAACTGGGGATGGTTACACTTGCCAATGAGGTGCAACCGCCGAAGGCCCCTATTCGAATCCGAGTGACTGAGTTGGTCATGCTTGCCAATGAGAAGCAAGCCTGAAAGGCACCATCTCCGATATCAGTCACGGAGTTAGGGATTGTCACGCTTGCCAATGAACTGCAATGTTCGAAAGCACATTCCCCAATCAGTTTGACCGAATTGGGGATGGTCACGCTTGCCAACGAGATGCATGCTTGGAAGGCACCGTGCCGAATCTTCGTCACGCCTCCTGGAATTTCCACCACGCGCAAATCTTCGCGGGCGCAGCCGGAGGCTGAGAGGCTTGAGCACGTCACTGGCTTGACGCTGAGGAAAGCCAGAACTTCTGTACCTGGAATGGCCGCTGACACCATCTCCTCGTTGTTCAACAAGGAGCTGTCTCCAACAACCACCTCCACACAGCTCAAGTTGCGCTGAAATTCATTTACACAGGGCAGCCACCCGTGCAGCTGCCTCTTGAACTCTCGAACAGTCATGTCTGCCAGCAATTCGAATGCCTCATCTTCCCCAAACAAATGCCGCACCGTAATCTCTCTCGCCGTGGGAAACCTGTTCTTAACTACCAATTCTTTGAAATGGGGGCTTCTCAGCATAGTGGCCCAAATGGTTGGTGTCCTCTGATTTCCCTGTAGATATACCGACCAAAAGGGGGTCCGAAATCCATTTTGAATAAATACCCAAATGTTCTTGGCTGGTTCAAGCTTGCGCCGGCTCAGCTTGTTGACTCGCCACGTCCGGCGCTGATGTGGTTTTGGATGTTAGCTGCGGGCGGCTTTGGGAGTGTCCTTGAGCCCTGCTTTACATGAGTTGGCCCAAGTGCAGTCACCGGCTCTGGAGAAAATGGCAGCGGCATCATGGCAGATGGTCAGCTCTCACAATCCTACTTGCCCAGTGGTCAACGGACAATGTGTTTGGCTTGTTGATTTCAACTACGAACTTCTTGGATTTGTTCCTTGAGACTGGTAGATTTCTTCTTGGCAGATTTCTTCCTGGCGACTGCTGCTTGAAATGTTATTCGGAACAACTAGCTTCTGCCTTGGACACAGGAAACAGAGTGCCACTAGACAGCTTGTTGACGGGATGTCTGGCTGCCGAGCCAGCATCCCACGTTGAGAGTTTGGCGAATGGAAGCTCTCGCTCCCTCTCTTTCTCTGTGACATGGCACGCGTCGCCTAACCTCAGTCGCCCAGAGGACCTGGAAATGAAATCTTAACCTTTTGGGGCTATGACTAAAACATGGCGCATGGCACTCCGCGCTTGGACAAAACACTCATGTAAACGTGGGGGGTGATGTTGAAATCGGCAGCAAATTTGAACCGCCTGTTTTTGGCTTTTTACAATTCGGAAACCGGCATGCCGCTTGGGCATTGACAATAAGTAATGCGGCCAGTGTTGCTTGTGTCCAAGGGACCCACAACCAGGTGGTTTCTGCTTTGGCTTCCTTAGACAACCTGAAAAAAGCAGAGAGGTCCTGAACAAACACCGACAACTTCTCAGTACTCAGTTGCCCAAATCGGACCTTTTGCTCTTTTGTTTTCCGCACGTGGGGACTGGAGACAAAATATGGCCCCGGGTGTATGAATTTAGGGCAGGTTTTGCGGCCAAGTTCCACTCACACAGGGTGAGATTTGGGGTGTTGGGGGCTTTTCCATGCTTCGAACCATCCCCCGCCCCCAGAAGCCCCCAAGACCCTAGCTGCTGTCGAAGCTCCTCCAACTGCTGGTGGGCTGCGTCCTTGGTCACAGCACCAGAGGGACACCCCACAACCATCTGGGCTTGTCTTGGTGTGTCTGTGTGTCTGTGCGCGTGTTCGGGGTTGCGGTTGTGTGTTTATGTTTGTGTTTGGGGTTGCTTTTGTGTGTGTGTGTGTGTGAGTGTGAGTGTGAGTGTGAGTGAGTGAGAGTGAGAGTGTGAGTGTGAGTGTGAGTGTGAGTGTGAGTGTGTGTTTGTTTTGGTTCGTGCTTGATTTGGGTTCGTGTATGTGCTTGTGTGTGTGTGTGTCTGTGTGTTTGCGTGGGTTTGTGTTTGTGTTTGCGTTTTTGTCTATGCTGGTGTTGGTGTTCGCTTCTGTGACTGTGATTGAGTTTGTGTTTGTGTGTGTGTGTGTGTGCGCTTTTGAGACTCGGTATAATTTCCAGATTAGACAAAACAGTCAACAAAAGAAAAACCACCAAGTTGGTTGGGGTCCCAAATGGTAAGTAACAATCAGTTTTCACACAACCCAAATTTGGAGAGCTTGCAGATTCAATTAAATGAAGATATTTCAGCCAGAAATGGATTGGGGTTCCATAAACGAACTGATTGTAACTCAATGTGCCATCTGGCTGCGGGTTTGGAACAAACAACCCAGGTCTTTGGCAGAAAGGGTGAACTTCGGATCAATGTGGACCAGCCGAGATTCCCCGACAACACACTGTCGGTGTGACTTCCCCATAGCATTGGAAGGCAGTCTACAGATTTGTTTTTTTGGGGTGTGCCTAGTGTGGGTTCAGGGCTGGTTGCGGTTCATTCTGGGTTGCTATAGTGTTGGTCTAGGGTAGGCTGAGGGGGTCATGTTGGCTTAGGGTCGGCTTAGGGTTTGTTCAGCGAGGGTTTAGTGTCCGTTTTAAATGATTTGTTGGGTTGGCCCTGGGCTGGCTTCGGGTGAGCTCAACCAGTGTAGGTCCGGGTTGGTTTAGCGAGGGCTTGGAATTGAGTTAAAGCTAGGTTTGGTGGTTTGTGGTACGATTTTGGTCGGGTTATTGAACATAGGGTCTCAAACCAGCGAGCAAACTTTTCTTATAGCACGCCATCGGGAGCTTCCGGTACACCGGACCGCTGGATGCCCTGGAGTTGCGGGACACCAACTGCGAGCTGTTTTTTTGCGACTCTCGCCTTGCCACCCAAGACCTTGGGCCTTCCAAAATTTGTTGCAATGACTCCAGCCGTGCTAGAACATCCGAGTTGTTGCGCCTCTCTGTCTCGCCAGGCTTTGAAGCAACAGCGCCAGTCACCAACAGCTAGGGCTCCTGAAGGACACGTCCACAGGCTGCTAAACGAGTGGCCTCTCAATCAGCTGGTTGATCTGTCGCGAATGCAGCCTATAAGCAACCCTGAGAAACCTGCCGAACAAAACGTTTTTTTTTTGGTATTTTGGTTCAACGCGCCGGAACACGCTGGGACCTATGGACCTCCATGGACCTCTGGGCGGTACTAACCGCACCCGTGGGGTTTGCACATGATTCACAAGCACGCTCACATGTGAGCCTGCCTCCACATGTGGAAGCCTTTGCTGGATGGCTTTTTAAGATAGTTCCCACAGGGAACCTAACGTGATGAAAGGAAATCTCTGGAGCGGTCTCAATTTTTGGGATGCACTCCAAAATGACGCCATTGCAACTCACCAACCGGAAGTAGCCCCAGCCCGGGATCGCGGCCAAGTCTGCCCGGCGCTGTTTCAGGGCCTGGCCAGGAGAAAAAAAACACCTCCGGGGCAATGCCACAGGTCTGGCTTTGAAAGGCAAACTAAAGGAAGACCAAAGAAACCACAGGGAAGCTAGCAGTTTGAGGATATTCGAATTTGGGAGAAGACATGAAGAAACTTCTCGTTGCTCACCTAATGGCCCTTTGCTGATTGCGGAAGGGCCAAGTTTCGCCGAGTCTTGCGAACCTTGCCAGCCACGAGTCACCAAAACGAGGGTGTTGCAAAGGAAAGCAGCTGAAGCGTTGACTCACGATGGTTTTTGGAGGCCCGCACCGGACAATTGCCTTCCTCTTTGCTTGACATGTTTTCATCCTGACCAGCGGTTGCTGACAACCCGCTGTGATGGATGACTCACGCTCCTTTGCCCTCGGCAAAGGCGGCCGATGCCCTTTACACGTCGCCCTCGGCACGTCAACTTGAGGCTAGACGCGTGGCGCATCACGCGATAAACCTCAAATCCAAGGACTTGCACAAACACAAAAACAAGAGAACAGACTCAATCCCCAAATCTGAAACCCAACAATCCCAAACGGGGGAACCAACACAGTCAAGCCCAGACTCAGCCAACACTCATGTTCCAATTCCAGCCTGGCTCTGATTTGAGTGTGAACCTGAGTTTGCATTGATCCGCCGAGCTTGTCTCCGTCCTGTAGCTGAAGACTTTCTGCTTTGCTTACTTGTGCTTCGTTTGAGGGAGTCGAATCAAGCCGAGTGCTTTGGCCTGAGACTTCTGAGGGCTCTCTTGGGAAGCTGCGGATACCGTAGCCCAAACCCTACACGCAGCTTCGTTTGTGCTTTGCGTTTGGAATCTGTCGCTAGTTTCGCTGGCGCTTGTGGCATTGTTTGATTGAGTCTTTTCGCGCCTGGCCACGCTGTTGGCATGCAGTTCTTTGGGCCCAATTCCAGCCCCCTGACCATCTGCAAAATCAGCGCGGCACTAGGCGTGGCAGGTAGCAGGACGAAAGAGGATGCATTGCATTCTAAATCATTTCAGGCCTTGCACCCTCCCAGGGCGGGGCTTCAACTTCCCGTCTCCCATTGGGATCGCGTGTTTCGAGAGCACCGAAACCCTACCAAAATGGCCACGAAGGCTTAACTCATTCCAACCCCCACGCCGGGTTTAACCACCTTCTTGCCCAATGATGGCCAAGCGCTGCTCGGAGTGGTCTGTGGCGATTTCAACAAATGCCAGGTCAGAAGCTGGGTCCATCCCCCCCCCACCCTGAGGAAGGCTTTCAACATCCTAAAACCGCCTTGAGGAGAAGCGGAATTCCGAGGACACTCGCCCCCAACCCCCCGGACACGCGGCCTGCAGGGCTGCCCGCATCTTGTCGGACCTGAAGTCTTTCCATTACATCGCAATGGCTACATCACCCAGAAGTTGGAGGGTCGCAAAACCCAAAGGCCAATACAGCAATTCGGCCCATACCTCGCTGCTTGATGGGACGTTCGTCACTTTTTTGGTTCGGAGCCTTTTAGTGGTAAGGCAAGTTCCCGGACTTTGTTTGGCCAATCGGTTGGAAGTGAGGAATCTAGGGGTTGATTCCCCATTGTTTTCAACCATCGTTCTTTTCAAAAAGCAGCTGTCTTCCCTGGGTTTCTGGAGGTTTTGTAGAAAGAAGGATCCCTGGACAAAAATGGAATTGGAAGGTACCCCTAGAAGAAATGCCGAACCTTAGACAACGTGAAGTGCCTTAAAGGCCCAAGCTTGGCGATCTGCGAGACAGACGCTAGCACTTAAGGCAGCGACCCATCTGCCGCCTGGCTGACGCGATGTCACAAGATGAGCCCCTGGCCATATCGCGCCTCGTAGGTCGCCGGTGTCACACAATTAATTCCATGAAGCTTGCAGTTGACGTTTATGGGTTCATACAGACTACGAATGACAATTATGCCGTGGCACATGTTCAACCTGGACTCCGTGAGAGAATGAAAGGCCACAAGGCAACGTGATCGTGTCGAAATCTTGGAAATTACGAGTTCAAAGGGCATTGCGCCAAAAGAAACAGGTCACAAATGACTGACGCGCATATGGGCAAGGTCAACCCAAAGGCCGGGCACGGAGAGCTCGAGCCGCAAGGGGACTTGTTGAACCGAAGCTAGCCGCGAACTCCGCCGACCCCTTCCTGCAAGTTGAAATGCCACGGTGTTGTTCGCCAGAAGTCTGAAATGCTACAAATCCCGCAAGAAAAAGACGCAAACTGAAAACAAACAAACAAACAGACAAACAAACAGACAAACAAACAAACAAACAGACAGACAAACAAGCAAGCGAGGAAGGAAGGAAGGATGGAAGGAGCGAAGGAAGGAGGGAAGGAGGGAAGGCAGGAGGGAAGGAAAGAAGGACATACGGAAGAAGGAAAGAGAGCAGAACATAACAAACAAAAGAAAGAGCAAGGAAACATACAAAACAACAACTTGTCTAGGCAAATGGAGTGACACATTGCCAAAGGCCGGCAGCAAGCCTGTGTATCTTTCTCCTTCTCCTCATTCGGTGATGGCCCAGCATCCTGCCAGGTCTTCGCTTTGAGTGAATACTTACAGTCTGTGGTCTCCGAAAAGTTGAGCCAAACAGTTGAAACACAAATAAGGCCATAGTTAAACCACACACCCTTTTTCCAAGGACTTACAGTACACGTGTCCCTTTTGCACAAGCATGATTTCTTAGGGACCCCAACAATTTGTGGTTTACCTTTCGGTTTCCCTGCAAAACCGGATAAAAGAAAGACAGGGGTCATCCTTCCAGCAGATCCGTGCACGGAAAATCACGGAAGGGCCTTTTCGAAGCCAGCCGGCGGTCGCTCCTTTCTGGCCGGTCTTGGCTTTGCAGCTGCCTGGCAAACAGGGGCACGGCGGGGCAAGGGAACTAGCGAGTGGACTTCAGAGACGGGCCCGTTTTTTGGGGACCTTCTAAGGGTTGATTCCCCATTCTTTCCAACCATCGTTCTTTTCGAAAACCGGCCGTTTCCATGGGTTTCCGGAGGTTTTCTGGAAAGAAGGATCCCTGGAAAGAATGGGGAAGGTAGAACTAGAGACCTACGATTTCTCAAAAGCTTTCTTCAAACAAACCGAGGCATTTGGAAGGATCCAGCTAGCGTTGACACCATGCCCTCACGAGCAAAGGGAAGACGTTCCGCGAAGTCCTGGGGCCGGTCAGTCATGCTTCTCGCGCCATGCTTTCTTGATGGGAAACGTTGGCCGGCGGCAAACTCAGACGCCCTGAGCGGGCTCCGCTCTTTGCACACAAAGCACTTTTCAGTTGCATTCGGAAACGTGTTCTGGGCGTGTCTTTTCTAAGGGAAACGACACGTCTTTTCTAAGGGAAACGACATGCCTTTTTGGGGTGGCCCTGAAGGAAAACCAACATGGGAAACCACACATATGGTCGGGGCTTCCTGTTTTTAGAGACTCACCCGTACCTGTCGCACGTTGCAAACATCCTTTTCTTGCAGATTCGCCAACGCAGTCCCTGAAGATTGAAAGTTGGCACGCGGTATTCGGTGCCCAGCCAGGGGTCAAACCTTTTTTCAGACATGGTCACGAGCAAAGCGTCATGCTAACCTAGGTCCTCCAGTAGAGAGGTTAGAATAAGGGTATACCCCTTTTTCTGTAGCCTATTTTAGTAGGGGAACCCTCCCAAAAAAAAAAAGGTAAAAGGATGTAAAAGGGCACTACTGGGGGGGGGGCCTAGTAACTGTGGAGTAATCTGATGAAACATATGCAAACCAAACTAACCTCCCTGGAAAGCAAATATAATTTCTCACAAGACCCAGGGAACCACCAGTGATAACGATAGTCCTCCGGATTGATGTGCAGCTGACATTAACTTCCAACTGTCATTCGCTGGAATTACTGGCCGCACGTGCAAAGGCCTTTCCATCTGGCAGCCATCAGTGCCACAAAGGCGGACCGGCTTGTTCAGCTGAACAAAAAAGCCGTATTCACACAAAACAAAGGTACTACCCAAAGCATCTTGAGGTCCACAACTTCCAATGCAGGTGTGGATCCCTGCAATGGAGGGTCCAATGATGATTGGGGTATGCCCAACAAACGCACGACGATCTGCTTAGGTTGAACTCGAAAACGTGCGAATGAGCCCTGGCTTGGGCCGGTTTTGATCCGCACCCCGTTCGGGGACGCGGAAGCAGGATTGCAGGCGATGGACTGTTGGCCCAAATCGGCGCGGTAAGAAGCCATTCTCTCAGGGGTTCTCCTTTCAACAAGCTTGGTGCTGGGATTTGGAAGGAAAAGAACGTCCTTGCCGGTGATTCGATCTGCCGCTCCCCTCCTCTCTGGTGCCGAGACCTGTCCCTGCAATCCTGGGCAATGCCTCACAACGAAAGGCTGCTCGAAATGGCGGGGCCCTTTCCGTGGCCCAAGTTGCTCCGGATTGCCTGAGCCCAGGGCGCACCTGCTTTTCAGCACAAGCCACGTTCAAACCGAGAAAGCCGTGCTAGGCAGCCTATGCAGGAAAGGCTGAACCTATGTAACTTGTTTCTCTTTTTAGTTAACGCGATGTATGCAAGTCCCTAGGCTTTGGAGAAAACCGACCATCCATTGTGGCTTCATTTCAGGACCCCGACCGCCACTCCATGCAATCAAACTTTGAATCGTGCACGCCGTCACGGCACGCTGATCTTTCGGGAGTCCGTCCTGGTGCCTGCTGAGACCTGCCGCGAAAGCTTTCGGCTGAACTACACATCCCAAAGCCATAAACCTTGACTGGGCTCTTCAGAAAACGAGGGCGTCCACATCTGGGGAACAAAGAAACTATGGATGGACGCAATCCATTTCGCACCACCTAAGAAACCCTGCAATGATGATTCCCCCAAACACAATTGTTTTGCACGGCTTCAAAGGGGTGCGAAATGGATTTTGTCCATCCACAGTATGATCTTCACCAGCTGTCACATTTTACCTGCCCCAACATATATGAAGCATAACTCAGTTGCCGATTTGGGACCCGGAAATTTGATAGGTGTTTCATTTGTTTTTGGGCCACAAACAATTTGGGAACCCCGCAAAAAGGGGAAACCACAAGGGTCAGATCCAAAGGCCATATGTGTGAGCTGGGCTGTTCTCAGATCCCCTGCTGAAAGTTGATCCTTTTTTAAGAAGCCACAACCCCCCCCCCTTTACTCCCCCCCTGCTTTGGGCCAAATAGGTGGGAAGCTTCCCGAAAGCCTTGGGGAAGCTTCCGGAAGCCTTGCGGAAGCTTCCGGAAGCCTTTGGGAAGCTTCGGGAAAAAGGGGGGGGGAGATTGAAACAAGGGTGGTCCCCCCCTCCCCCCCCTTTTTCCCGAAGCTTCCGGAAGCTTCCCCAAGGCTTCCGGAAGCTTCCGCAATGCTTCCGGAAGCTTCCGGAAGCTTCTGGAAGCTTCCGGAAGCCTTGCGGAAGACTTACGGACTTCTGAAGCTTCGGGGGAGCGGACGGGAAGGGCAGGGGACGGGGAAGGAAGGGGTGCGAGGGGGACGAGCATGAGCGTAGTGGTGGGTGTCATTTTCCAGGGCTTGTCGTGCCGCCAGTCAGTGGGGAACCCTTTGGGAGCCAAATACTTTGACAGTGTTATAAAACTCCAATAGCAGTGCTATAGCATGTCTCAAGGGGGGGGGGGCGGTAAGGGAGGGGGGGTTTATGCTTTCTTAACTTTTGGTGGGTTATATGAAAACCCAACCACTAAACCAACTAAAAACCAAAGTGAGGAACTACCAAGTTAGGTTTTAGTTTTCAGGCACCAAGTGAGGAACCCACCTAAGTGAGGAAGAACCCAAAGAGAAAACGGCTGGGAGCCACCCTCCCTCCCTTTAAGACCTGTTTCCTCTTGGAGGGACCCCCTGTCAGTCGCCATGTTAGTGGGAGAGAGGGTACCAAGTGAAAAAGCGTCCCTGACTCCCCTGAGGTTTGGCCTCCATGCGCTCCTTCTGCAGGCGGATCACCGTCTGTAGGATGTGCCGCCGCCAGGCCGGTAGGATCAGCGTGACCACCTCGGGGTGGTAGAACCCTCACCTTCCCCATTCTTTCCAGGGATCCTTCTTTCTAGAAACCCTCCGGAAACCCAGCAAAAGCAGCCAGTTGTTGGAAAGAACGATGGCTGAAAAGAATGGGGAATCAACCCCTAGAAAGCCAGGGGTTGTCCTTGGCAGTCCATTAGGCCCACCCGAGCAAAACAACAACAACGACATTGCTTGTGGTCCGACGGAAGGGCACGAAGGGGGGAGGTTGAACAACGACCGCAACGGCGAAAACAAAGCACCACCATTTGAAGGGAATTCCTCATGTGGTTGCAGAAGGCTCAATTGCCCTTAACCTCGCCCCCTCCCCTCCCTCCCTCTCCCTCCCTCCCTTAGACCCCACCCCCCCCCCTTGGGTTCCCCAATGCCACGGACCTAGCCCAGCCGAGGCGCGCAAACGGCCAGCGCCAGCTGCGCAATTTCCGGGTTGGCGGTCCGAGCCGCTAGCACCTCCACGCCTGCGGCTGAAGCCGCCAAAACGGATGCGTGGATCGTGCCCAACCTTCTGGGGCTCAGGGGGAAGGGGGGCCCAATTCCAGTTTTCTAACCTTCCCCATAAGAGCATGGAACCATTGGTGAAATTCCAGGAATCGCCCCGCTCCTTTAAATCCATGATCCGAGGCAAAACTCGCGGGAACGACACATGGACAAAACGCCACCTATGGCGTACCAATCTCTTTTTGCCGTGGTGGTTTGGCGGTTGAAATTCACATCATGGCGTGAAAAGGCACAACCGACTCCGCAATATGAAGGTACACATAGCGCATATAGTACATATACCCATATGCTTATATATGTATACACACATATATATATATATATATATATGATCCCGGTCTGCGGTTCGGTAGCCCCCCCCCCCATGCCTTCCCCCCCTGCAGCGGCCTCATTTGGACTCAATTACGAATTGTCTTCAAGGCAGTCATGCAAAAACAATTTAATTACAGCGCGCGCGCTTGGATGCCGGGCCCTTGCCCCACAAGCGATGCCTCATGGGCCGCGGCACCAGAAGATCAAAATGAGTACCACTACGCAGCAAGCGCACCGGGCCCCGCCTCATAGCTCCACCGTCCCCGATGCCCGGCTCGCTCCAAATCAGCTCGAGGCCGTCTGCCTCCTCCTGGTATCTCCACTGTTAGCCCCTGGTAGCGGACGAATGCCCCGATGTTGGCGTAGGTGGCATAGACCCTTGGCTGGCTGGCATAGGCAAAGTACCGGTCCCAGTCCCAGTCTCCAGCAGCGCTGCCAGCTCACAGCGGGTCATCGGCCATCTCGGATGCCAGCTTCCACACCGTCTCCTTCTTCTCCTCAGCAGTCAAGTGCCGCAGCCACAGTTGCATGTGGGTCATCAGCTGGCAACGAACTGCTTGCGCGCCAGCACTATCATCCACCAGCGCCTGCGGCGCGATGCCTGCCAAGCACTGCGTGGCCATGTGGAAGCACCTGTAGAGACAGGCACCGTCAGCAAGCGCCGCAATCTTGTAGAAGGGCCCACACTCCTTGAAGCCTGCTTCCTGGACCACCTTGGGTGGCGGTGAGGGCACGTGACCGTCATCCGCAGGCAGCTTATGCGGCATCAGTTTGAGGCTGGCTTCGTGCTTGTACACGCTTGCGCCAGAGCCGACCTCCGTGAGTTCCACAAAGCCTTGCGAGACCGACTGCACCGTGTACTCCCGGACCTTGCCATCCTTGGTCTCGAACTTGCCGTGACCAGTTTTCGAAGTGTACTGCGAGTTCTTGATGATGACCCTGTCCCCAGAAAGCACTGGCGCCTCACAAGCCTGCTTGCGCTTAGAGTCATAGCGCAAGTTCTTCTGCATGGC